CCTGCTTTAGAGGAAGAGCCAGGAAAGCTAGCAATCACTGAAAGAGACTATATTAAGTGTGCAATACAAGCAATACCCATGTGATGCAAAGATAAGAAGTATAATGAGAATGCTTTGGTTACACCAGAAACTCTTTAATTCCTGAATATAGTAATCAATAATAGTAGCAGTAGTGATAAATGGCTCAATATCTCATTGGCAGCCAGTATCAAGTGGATCAAGAGATTGGTTCTGGGACTGGTTTAATTCAATATCTTCATCAGTAACTTAGATGTTGGGATGGAATGTACCCTCAGCAAGTTTGCAGATGACACCAAGCTAGGGGGAGTAGTAGATATGTTGGAGGCTAGGGACAGGATTCAGAGACATGTTGACGAATTGGAAGATTGGGCCAAAAGAAAGCTCATGAGGTTCAATAAGGAGAAGTGCAGTGTCCTGCACTTAGGACAAACAATCCCATCCACTGGTACAGGCTGGGGACTCACTGGCAAAGCAGCAGCTCTGCAGAAAAGGACCTGGAGGTGACAGTGAAGAATAAGCTGAATATGAACCAACAGTGTGCCCTTGTTGTGAAGAAGGCTAACGACATACTGGGCCACATTAGTAGGAACACTGCTAGCAGATGGAGGAAAGAGATTATTCCTTTCTATTCAGCACTGGTGAGGTCACATCTGGAGTACTATGTCCAGTTTTGGGCCCTCCACTACAGAAATGATGGGGACAAACTTGAGAGAGTGGAGGACAACAAAAATGGTTAGGGAGTTAGGGCACATGACAACAAGGAAACTTTAGGTTATATGTTCGGAAAAAACTCTCTCACTAGAAGAGTAGTGAAGCACTGGAACAGGTTACTCAGAGAGGTTGTGGAATCTCCATTCTTGGAGGTTTTAAAGACCTGGCTAGACAAAGCCTTGGCTGGGATGATATAGGTGGCGATGATCCTGCTTTGAGCAGAGGGTTGGACTAGACAACCTCCTGAGGTCCCTCCCAACCCTATTTTTCTATGATAAAAAGAGGAAGTATACAAAAATTGGAAACAATGCACACGAAGAGGGAGGAGTACAAGGGAATAGTGTAAGTATATAAGAATAAAATCTAAAAGACTAAGATGCAAAATCAGTTTTAATTAGCAAGAAGCTTTAAGAAAAGTTTCTATGAATATATTAGAAACAAGAGGTAAACAAAAGAAAGTATAGGTCCATTATTAAACAGGATAGGAAAGCAAATAACAGATGACAGAAGAGGTTTGTATAATTAATGCTTCAGTCTTCACAAAAAAGCTCAACTGTGATCAAATCAATTTTAACAAGGAGACAGGACTGCAAGCCAAATTATAAAATTAATAGGCTAAAGAATATTTAAAAAATAGATGGATTTAAGTGGTAGAGCCTGGGGCAAATCATTCCAGAGCACTTAAGAAACTAGCCAAAGTAATGTATGAACCACAAGTCAATTTCTTTAGTTGGGTTTTTGACACTGTCCCACATAACATTCTTGTAAGCAAACCAAGCAAACTTGGTCTAGGTAAGACAGGAATACAGCTGGATGAAAAATTACTCTTGAAAAATAGATATCAATGGTGTGCTGTCAAATTGGAGACCACTTAACATGAGGTTTTAAACAGCTGTATTAGCAACTCAGATGATGCCATATGCTTATAATCTGCAGATGAAACCAAACTGCAAAACAAGATCAGAATTCAAAACGATCTTGAGAGGGGGTCTGAAATTGACAATCAAAATTCCAGTAGAGACAAGTACAGAGAACTACAGGGAAGAAGAATAAATCCAAGGGACAAATGCAAAATGGGGAATAACTAGTAGAAAAAGGTCTGAGGGTTCTCATGGAACACAGACTAAATTTAACTTTGCAACATGATGTTGCTACAAAAGAAAGAAAATCTCATTCTGAGGTGTATTAAAAGGAGTCTTGTATGTAAGACACAGGGGGCCTTACATACAACATTTCATTCTACTTTGCCCTGGTAAGGCCTTACCTAGAAAAATGAGTCCGGTTTTGGTCACCACACTTTCAAAAACAAAGAGTCTAAAAGAAAGCAACAAGAATTAAAAGACACAAATGTATCGCCTATGAGGAAAGGTTGAAGGAATTGGGTTTGTTTAGGTTGAAGGAATTGGGTTTGTTTAGCCTAGAAAAAGAAGACTGAGGAAAGACAATATAAAAATCATCAGTTGTTTTCCAGGGCTCCTTGTGGAAAGACCCATCCTCCCACATACACCCACCTTAACTGGCAACAATGAAAATTTAGTTGCATATTAGGTAGAGGTGCACAGATATATCAGTCCTTATCAGATAGGCACCTATAAAAGGAAAATTGACATTATTGTCAATCGACTTGTTTTGGCCAGTGTGGCCAACAATGTCACTGATAAGTGCCATGCGCATGTGCACAGCTGCAGCGTGCATGTGGCCTGGAATGCAGCCCAGCAGTTTGGACAGTAGCGTCCAGCTGGCAAGTCTGTTGGGGGGAAGGAGCATGGGGGAGGGAAGGGGCATGGAGGGCAGATTGCAGCCCCCACAGTGAGGAAGGGAGTGGGGCTGGGGCTGGGGCAGGTGCTGCCCAGACAGAGCAGTACATGCAACCCCAGAAGTGGGGTGGAACTGTGGCCAGCTCATCCAGGGGAAGGCAGATGAGGAGGGGAAGTGGCTCCCTGCTACTGCACGCACCCCCAGAGGAGGCATGGGGGCATGTGCCTCCTGCATTTGTGTGCAGGGCAAGGGTGGGCTGCCAGCTGCAGCCTTGGGGCCAGGAGCTGTGCTGGCCTCTTCCCAGTGGGGACGGAGCAGGCTGCAGAGGTGTTGGGAGGAATGTATATGGGGTGGGCTATGGTGAATTTTGGGGTGGCTGTAGCCCACTCTGTAGCCCCTCTCCCAGTGCCACTGCCTGCCCCACCCCGAATGGAGGTGAGCAGGGGAAGAGGCCAGCACAGCCCCTGGCCCTGAGCCCACAGCAGGCAGCCCACTCTCACCCCGTACACAAATCCTGGGGGCACATGTTCTCCATGCCTCCTCAGGGTTGTGTGTAGTAGTGGGGTGCCATGTCCCCTCCTCACCCTCTCACACCTTTGTGGATGAGCTTGCTGTGAGCCCAGCCTACTCCTGGGCGTGCATTCATCACCCTGGCTGGGCAGTGCCTGCCTGTCCCAGCCCCAGACATACTCCTTCCCTCACCTTGGGGGCCTTGATCTGCTCCCCCACACCCCTTCCTCCCCACAGGCTTACTGGCTGGAGGATGCTCCAAGCTGCCAGGCTGGATATTGACTATTGGATCGGTATCAACCAATATGGCTGGGTAATAATCAGCCATCAGTATCAGCTAAAAAATCTTTATAGGTGCACCCCTAGTATTAGGTTAAACTTTCTTATTGTCAGCATGATAAAACAATGGAAAAGGCTACCTAAAGATGTTATAAGATCTGTACTGGAGGTTAGCCAAACATCTCATGGAAATGGTCTCAATACATTTGATTCTGGTATACTACTGGGAGTTGGACTCGATGACCTTTGGACCAAGTCATCAAAAACATGACACTTTTATTGGTATAAGTGATTTGAAACTGGTCTAAACCTATAACAGAACAGAAGTTTGGCACTAGAGACAGGTTTAAAAAATGGCAGAACCTGGTCTAAATTAGGCAGCTTGCATACCCACCCAACCAAAGGGTAAATGTGTGTTCCATTTGCTATCAATCTAAATTACACTGCTTATGGAAAACCATGTAACTTAGATCAATTCCATCTTGGGCTTTTTGAGTGTCTGTACCTAGCCTTTGAAGTTCCTTTTAGCCAAATATTCTATGCTTCTATGATTTCAGAATATGTTTCATGCTGGGATGGTACTTTGACGCTTTGCAAGAATCATCCTAAAGCCAAGTACCAAGTGCTGTCAAATGACAGTATTTGAAAATCATAACTCAGACATAAATCATGAAATGCCTTTAAAATAATGAGTTTTAAAAACTGTAAATTTTGGCGTGTTTTTATTTGCTGAAACTTTTTCACAACCCGGGTGGCTTGAAAGTTCGTTTAAAAATTTCTGAAAATCTCAAATTCAGGAGCTATAGCTTTAAGAAAAACATGAAATATTGTGAGACTTGTGATAAAATCATGAGAATAGGCAACACTGTATACCTAACAATGTATCCAGTACAACACATACCAGGTTGTTTTTTGCTGCTTAATAAGATTAGCATACTTCAACATTTTAACTATAAGAAAATGCACAAGTCTTAAAAAAGACATACCTTTACAAATGTGCTCTATCTTATGGTTTACAACATTAATTTTTTGTTCTGATGTTACCAGGTTATGTGCACAAGACACAACGTAGCAGCACAAAGAGGTACCCAAGCTAGCTCTAAGTGAATTAGTTTGGTACTAGAAACAAGATAGTTATATTTAGGCTAATTAGCCACACAGAAATAGGGACTACTAGCTGCTATGGAATGCCACATTAACACAGTTATATTACTTCCAATAATATAAGCTAGCTTGTTTAGAGCTAGTTTGGGGATTCTACCCAGCATTGCACTGTGCCATATAAATATACATGTAATGATTAAGTAGCCAGTCATACATTTGAGTATGTGTAGATTCAATGCTTCTGTGAATATATCCATTTATTTTTACTCCACTACCAAATCTTGTAACTGCTTAGATATAGAAACAATCTGTGTATGTAATAGGGCTGTGCAAAGCTTTGGGTGATGATTCGATTCAGAGGAGATTCGGCCCGATTTGGTGGTCGAATCTCCAAATTTGAATTGAATCAGGAAACCAATTAAAAGGTCCGAATTGATTCAGAGGTCTCTGAATCAGTTCAGAAAAGATTCAGAGAGCTTCAGCAATATGGGCAATCTCCACTCATTGCAGCAGGGATCCAAGAGCTGGGAGAGTGGGTGGGGCAGTCATTGAGAGCAGGCGGGAGATGGGGCTGATTTGGAGATTTGGCCAATTCAGCACTGGCTAAATCTCTGAATCAGATTCGGCCCAGTCTGAATCCAAAGTGAATACCAGCTGCTTTGCACAGGCCTAGTATGTAATATATATCCAAGATACCTTATGCAGCTATGTGCATTGTTGCCTTATACCCACAGTACACAATGATCGCCTTCATTTAGAAGTTAGTTGCTTTCGGAGTGGCAAATTTGTTTCACTTTAAGTCCTGTCGGGGTCTTAGGCCTCCTGAAAGTTTTGATGTACAGAAATACCAGGAGCAATCTCACTCTGTTTTTCTTGTCATAGAAATTTGATTGCATTATTTGAGAGTAGAGATTCCATTTCCTGGTAGCTCCTTCTCTTGGTAGCGCCTCCTGGCCAGAAAGAAACTAAGAGACATCTAACTGCCCCAAGAACTACCAATAGCATGAACCCCTCTAAACCACTATGTTGTTGCATGATCTTGGTGTTCTAGATCAGACACATATGCACACATGGGAAATGCTTTTGGAGGTCCAGCAATAAACATAAAATGGCATGTGATATGTAATGAATAGCCACAACAAAAATTGCATTAATTAAATACTACAAAAAAGTTAATGCATGCTATAAAAATGGCTGCAAACTGAAATTGTGACTTTTGCACAATTCTAATCACTTCCATAATGACTATCCAAATCAGAGTCCGAAGAGCAATCTGATATTTCAGTAGTTATCATATGGCTAGTCTGTAGTCTTCTATTCCTCTGACAAGTAGTATTCCACAGGCGAATAGCCTTCTCTGGGTCAAACTTTCGGATGTCTGGAGAATTCATTTGAATTACCATGAGATCAGTTACACTGTCAGACATTAGTTTAGAGTGCTGTTGCATTGTGGTAAACTTCATTTGACTGAAGCCTCGTTCTGCTTCAGCTGAACTTGCAGGCAGTGTTAGGATCAGATCTATTAGTGTCAGGATGTTAGGATACTTATGCGAGTATTCTAAGTTCACTGAATCCCATGTCAAGCTCCGGATATTTTGAAATCTAAAAGAGAATAAAAATAAACTAAAAGTTGGTCACAGCTATAGAATTTCCATAGTCTTTCAAAACACATACTCTGGCATTTCTAGTTCAATAAACACACATAATTTCAGTATTCTTATTACCTATCATATAGCTCTAATTTCAGCATGCTCCATTCAGTCTCAACCTCATCAACTTTTACACCGGCACTTTCCAGTACTGCTTCAAAATGTTTAGTTAGGACAGACACCTCCCTTTCACCAAATTCTGTAACACAGGTAAAAGAAAACAGCTGTATAACTTACAGCAATATATATTACAAATATGTATTTACTCAAATAGACAGTATATAGCTTTCTGTACCTTGTTTGATTTTGTCTGGCCATAGCTTAAAACTTCCAATGATGGTTGCTCTCAGAACATCTTGGCTGGCATCACAAAAACAATCGTGTAGTCTCTTCATCAGATTGCTTAGTACTTTCATTCGTAATAGTAAAATATTTCCATTCCCTAAAAGCTGGTGACCGTGAAAATGTGTAACAGTCTCCACTAGGCGCTCCTTTGGACCGGATCTGAAAGATATAAAGACACAGAACACTATATACTATCCTTTTTCTATAATTTAATGTAAATTGTCTGATTCAGTTTTCAGATACACCTCACCTTGTTTGATACATATGAAGTGTTTGTAATGTTGACTGCATGGTTGCAAATAAATCTGCAATGGAACAGTTACAATCCTGTGTAACACGGGATAGAATATTGAGGACATTAATGACATCCAGTAAGAAATGACAAAACTTGACAATCTCCATTTTGAGAAGGAGCTTTAGAAAACCTTTGACTTTCTGGTGGTTTGTGGCACTTGGATCTCCTTGAATCTGAAATTCAATAGGAAAGATAATACATGTAAAAAAATCTGGAAAATGAGGATCCATTAACTTCTTTTCCCACTGCATTACATCCAATTTTTGAAGAACTTACCTTACTCAGATGTAGGACAATTGCAGCATAACCCTTCAGGAGGATTTGAAGAGCTGTCTGTAGGCGAGGTAGCCATCGGGACCCACCGATTTTAGAGGGAAGAGCTAGGTGTAACTTAAGGGCTTCATATTCAGATTTGAGATTGCTCTTATTTAGAGGTGAGTTATGATAGAAGTAATATATATTTTGTAAGAGATCAGTTAAAACAGTGTACAGCTGAATGCTTTCCAATGCTCCTTTGTAAGCCAATTCAAGGTGATGAGCAAAACAATGTACGGACTGTACACAAGGCTGAATTTCCTGCAGAAGTTTAGCTACTCCATTGTTTTCTCCTACCATGACATCAGTACCATCACTTCCAAACCCGACTAGTTTTCTGGACCAGTCTTGACTTGACAGATTGAGCTGAAGATTAATCTGCAATATTTTCTCAATCACATTTTTTACCATCAAAGCATTAGACTTATCAATTGGCTGAACTCCAACAATCTGGCAGTGGACTCTTCCTTCATTGGCAAAACGTACATATACAACTGCTGTTTCTTTAATTGAATTGTCTGTGACTCCATCACTAATGAGGGAGAAGAACTTACTTTTTTCTAGTTTCTCTTTTAAGGCCCTTCGTTCCACTTCAGCAATAAAGTGTGTAAACATTTTTGCATACTTGTAATTTCTAAATACAGAACCAATGTCCACACCTTTCATATCATCTAGCTTGCACATCCAATCAAGGTCTGTGAAAGGACGTCCAGATTTGGCAATAGCATGACATGTTCTAAAAATGTTTTCAATTCTTCCTAATGTCATTTTGCTCATGTTCTTTAACATCTCCTCAGCAGGAGCAATATCTGGAGTAGCACTGCTGGCAGCCTCCATGCAATTAGCCCAGGCATGAGCTTCACTGCTGTGATGTGCATTTATAAATTCAAGCTGAAAGTCATCAGTTCCAGAACAAAAATTATGTACAGTTTCCCCTAAGTTAACACTATGTTTGCGACACAGAGCACAGAACATTATCCCTCTTTCTTCATCATATTTTAGCCAGGGGTATTTTGTTAACCATATTTTTGGAAACTGTCGATTCCTCTTTGTTTGAAGATACTCCAAACCTTTTTCCTCTTCTCTTCCATCACCAACTTTTTTCTTGTTAGCAGAGATATTCTTGCTTTTAAATTGCTTCAGTACTTTTATAGCTATAATTTAAAAAGAAACAACTATGTATAAAATTGGTTTTATTGATATATTTTCTAACATTTTTTTTCTTTTTTCTTACACCTTTATTTTATTCATTTGGTAACTAGATTATGACTTGGTCTATATAGCTGTACAAGGAAATAAGGAAGAATCAGAGTTCCCATAACACCCTTTTGAAAGTTGAACCTATACAAATAAGTAGGTGTTGAATGACCTCTTAGTCATTCACAGTTGAATGACCTCTTAGACCTCATAGAGCATGTAGTTAGGGAACAAATATTTTCAGCAAAGGTCCAGAAAATGTCTGTTAATATTTGCTGCTGGTAGAGAGTAAGAGCAAATCATGATTCTCATGAAGCAAACAAAGGAGATGGAGTGAGACTTAGAGGGCATGTCTACATGTGTGCCAGACTGTGCAGTTGTTACTGTGCAGACATTTAGTACTTGCTACAAGCTGCGCAGTAACGTTGGCATCACGGTTCTTGCCTGCTGAATCCATGCCACCATAGCAATGAGCTACTGCAAGATAGTGTCTCATTTAGATGTGCCCAGAGTGTACCTCAGAGGCAAATTATTCATGAGAGCTATTGCTGAAGTCATGATACTTGCACAACATCTGTTATTCACTGGGGTGCTTATAAACACAAGCTAACTCATAACATTTCCTTTTCAAGAGGTGTCTTCTTCTCTGGATGTGTATGCATACAATTACTTGTCTAAATTTACTATATCTTGAAGATGTATGTTACAACAAATCACTAGTCTGGGACCTATGCTCTTGCATGTGGACATGGTAGGAACCTCTCAAGCTCAGAGTTTAAAACCACTAGCGTCCACAGAAGACATTTGGAATGCAAAGTTTTAGGGAGTTGGCTGCAAGTTCCTATTTAGTGAGAAATTAAATATTTTAAAACATTTTATTAAAAATAATAACAGGTAAATCTCAAGGAACACAAGATGAAGGCAGAAGACTGATGGACCATCACAGCACATATTATCTGAGGTCAGAAATTTCTCTCTAATGCAAAAACATATTTTTGGTAAACTGCCCACGCTTATGGTTTAAAATAGTCCAGGAATGTCTGTAAAGTGACAATAAAACCACTTAGTAAACAAACAAACATATATATACAAACATACATATATACATATATTCATAAGCTATACATAATAAAAGATGAGACAAGAGATGAGGAACATGGGAAAATAGATGAATTACCTTTAAAACAAAATAATTAAAAAAATAGACACTCACTGCTATTTAAAAAATAAGGAGGCACTGATTGAGATCTGGACCACCTAGTACAGAAAAGATTCTGTAACACAGATATAGTAAGGGTTAAAAACGCTCCTGCATATACTGGTGCAAGTTTGTTGACGCCAGTAGGATTATGGCTGCTTGAAACAAAAACCTATAACAGTGATTTTCATCCAGGATGCTGCAGTACTCTGTGGACAAGGCCTGGTCAAAGAAAGGGGAGCTCTCAATGCCTGTTGGAAGGAGCATTTTGTAGACTTTCTCAATTGAGACTCTGTTGTTGACAAGTGTTCCCAATTCCATCCCACAACATCCAGACAGAGATGATCTCAGAATCCATCCAACCCCTGAAGAGGTGAGAAAAGCTATCAAGCAGATGAAAAATGACAAGGCATTTGGAGCTGATGGAATCTCCATGGAAATCTTCAAGCATGGGAGAGAGGAGCTCACATCACAGCTTGATGCCCTCATTCCCAGATGACCTCATGGACACTGATGGTGACAAACTCCAAGAAAGGAGACAAGCCCAACTGTGGAAACTACAGAGAAATTGCCTTGCTGTCTACCACAGGAAAGATCATTGTGAGAAAATCTTCCACTTGCTGAAGAGCTCCTCCCAGAATCTCAGTGTGGGTTTAGGGCATCAAGAGGCACAACCATGATCTCTACTGCTTGCCAACTGCAGGAAAAATGCCAGGAACAACATAAACCTCTCTATATGGCCTTCTTTGACCTCATGAAATCTTAGGCTGTCAACTGAGAAGTGCTATTGGTACATATGGTATGGATGCCCATTGAAATTTGTGCGCAGATGGTATTGGTATTGGTACAGATGGTATGGATGCTCACTGTTCTTTGCCTGCTCCGTGATGGTATGAGATCAGTGGTTCTCAGTAATGGTTCTACCACAGATCTCTTTGAGATTAAGACAAGAGTTAAGCAAGGCTCCACCACTCTTCTCAATATTCCTTACTATGATGCTATGTCTGACCATCAACAAGCTTCCAGCCGGAGTGGAGCTAAACTACTGAACAGATGGTAAACTGTTTAATCTTAGCTGATCCAAGTCTATCCCAACCTCAGTCATAGAGCTCCAGTACATTGATGATACTGTAGTGTGTGCTCACTTGGAAGCAGATCTTCAGGCAATTGCTGATGCCTTGTCAAGGCATACAAGAAAATGGGACTGATGTTTAACATTCAGAAGAATTCAGATTGACAGTGGGACTCTGGAGAACATTGAGAATTTCCCATGCCTCGGAAGCCATCTCTCACCGAAGGCTGACATCAAAGAAATCTAACATCACCTCAGATATGTAAGTGCAGCCTTTGGATGCCAGAGGAAATGGATGTTCAAAGATTGCAACATCAGATCCAAAACCTGGCTGTGGTGGAGCACCTTTGAGGGTGCTTGCCACTTGGGGCTCCCACAGGCTCTGGTGGGAGCCAGTTTTGGAGGAGCAGCAGGGGAAACCCCCTAGGTACCATTTAAAGGGGGAAGGGGTATGGCAGGGCACTGTTGGTGCCTGCCACTTTAAGACCAAAGCTAAGCAGCCAGCAGGTGCTTGATTAAGGCAGCCATTTTAGATCTCTGGCTGCTTATATAAAGAGCTCAGTTCCCTGCTGGCTGGGCAGGCAGCAACATTGCTTGGCTGTGAGGCTTTATGTACCATCCTAGAGGTAAGGAAGGAGCTGTAGGGGATCGTTAGGAGGCTCCTGGTCCTGGGCATGATTTAAAACTGCACCTTGCCAGGAGTGGGTGGCCTGGTGGGGCTGTCAGTGGCACGAGAGCCCCCAGGAAATGCCAGGCCAGTTATCGCCCTGGTGAAAGGTGGGTAGGGGTGCCTTAACCCTAGCCCTCACCTTCAGGTAGGTTTGTGTAACACTGGAGACAGTTGGGGCCAGGCACAGCTATGGCCACCTGAGCCCTGTGGGGTGAGAGACCCCTAGGAGGGAGAGTTGGGGCCAGGCATGGTTGCAGCCACCTAAGCCCTGTGGGGTACAAGACCCTGAGGAAGGAGAGTGGGGGCCAGGCATGGCTGCAGCCGCCTAACCTCTGTGGGGGGGGTAAGACTCTGATAGGAAAAGCTGCGGCCAGGCACAGCAGTGGCCACCTGAGCCCGCTGGGGAGAAAAGCCCCATGGCCCCAAGTGAAGGGGGAGGTGTGGAGCCCTGAGTGAAAGGGGCAGAGATGAGTAGCCCCGAGTGGAGGGAAGTAGGCCCAGGTACGTCTTTGGACTCCTGATGTTGAAGTTTGGGCCACAGGCCAAGTAAAGGGGGCTCAGCCCAAGAGAGAGATAGGTGAGTCCTGACCCTAGTAAGTCCTCCATTTCTGGGAGGCCGAGCATGGATCAAAGGTAAGATTTTAAGTAGCACCATGACCTGCTGCTCCGGGGGGGGAGTGAGAGTCCTCTATGAGACCCTGGAGCACCAGTCGCGGTGTGAGGTATCCCAGCTCCCACATCCAGGAAGGTGGACCCGAGAGAGAGTGTGGGGCTAGTGAGAGAGGCCAGAGGTAGAGTACCCCCTCAACTGGTCAATGCTGGGGCCAGGACCAGAAGGGTCAAACGGGCCAGGAGCCCACCGTGAGGGACGCCTCAGAGCTGAGGGCCTGGGGTCCTGCCTGGCCTTGGAAGTGAGGCCAGGGCCTGTGTGGCCGAAGTTCCGGGGGGGACCATGCCCGAGAGGGGAGATAGCCAAAAGGGAGCTCGGCAGCCCGAATGATGGTGGAGTAGGCTGCCTGAGTGGAGGGATCAAAGGGGGGCCCTAATAGGAGGATTCTGGAGCCCAGTGTGGGGCTGGTGTGACTAACAACTGGATGCCATCTGCGAGGCATGGGCTGCGGTGTAGGGGAGGTACGGAGCTGCAGATAGCGCCCCCTGGCATTGGAGCAAGAAATGGGCAGCCTCCCGCTTAATTAACATCCTAATTAATAAGAACAAGTCATGGCAGGAAAGTCAGGTGGGAGGTTTGCCCAAAGGCAAGTGGGGAACCTAGCACTGTGGCTAGGCGGGGAGCCCCACTTTGCCACACAAGCTTGTAGTTTATCAAGCAGTCATGATCCCTACCTTACTGTGTGAAGATGAGACATGGACAACATGCTGGAGACACCTAAAGTTGTTGGAAAAGTACCATCAACACGGAAGATATTTTGAATCCAGTTGGTAGAAGGGTGCACCAACATTACCATCCTCCTGCAAGCAAACACCATGGGCACTGAGGCAAAGATTATCCAATATCAACTTTGCGGGCTCGGCCACATCATCCAGATGTCCAACTCCAGACTCCCAAAGCAAGTTTTACTCTCCAGCTCAGTCAAGGCATACATTTAAGATCAGGGCAGAGAAAGTGCTTCAAGGATATCATCAAAGCCAACTTGAAAAAATGCAACATTTGCATCAACTTGTAGGAGACTATTACCCAGGAATATCCCAAATAGAGGAAGAATCTGCTGCAAAGATCTTAGTACTTTGAAACCTCACGACAACAGGAGACAGAAAAGCAGGAATGGCATAAACAGCATGTTGCAGACCAAACCAAGAATCCAGGGCCACCCACCCCACATGGAAACATATACCCGAGTTGCAATGGAACCTGTTGATCCTAGGTCAGCCTCATCAGTCCTCTTCAGACCTACAGATAAGGCAATCATGGAAGACAATCATCCTGGACTGCAAGGGAATGCTGCTGCTGCTGCTAAAAGTGATTCTTAGCCAGGATGCTGCAGCACCCTGGGGCGTC